TTACAATAAGCCAAGACATTACTGATGTGGCAGTTAAAAGAGGACTGAGGCATCTGATAAGGAGTGGCTTCCTTCCCATGTAACATGTGGAAGTAGGGCAGGACCTGCCAAAATCTCACACTTTGGAATATTCCAACCTAAATTATTATACAAATGCAGAATCATATGTGAATCACAGATACCATGAAGAACCATGTATTACAGGGAAAGAAGAGATACAATTCAGAAGAGGTTTCAGATTGGATTAATTTACATTCAATAGGACCTCTTACACAATGCATCTGGGTCTTTAGATAATTCTTAAATTATGGCACTGAGCATGTTAATATGCTAATTAAAATATAATACAACAAAGACTACTGCATCAAATCAGCAGAGTACTCTGTAGCTGCAGAGTAAAAAATGTATAAAATATATGAAAATAAAGGCACTGTTTGGTTTCTAAAAAAATGCTTTTAACCATGACATGAAATTTGAGCTCTTCAGGTCATCCATTAGTAACTATAAAATGCAAGTTGAATTAATAACAGCATGCAAAATTCCATTCCATTTTATCTTATATTGTGTTTTGCTTTGCGTGTCACGTATTCAAAGCTCATTAGCAGTCAAAGAATTAATTAATTAATTAACTCTAGTGAGATTAAGATTCTTTGAAACTTTGAAACTCCAAAACTAGTTTTGGAGATTAATCTGTCTTTTTTTTTTTAAGTAAAGTTAGCAAATGTTGTTGATATTGCTCAATCCAGTAAGACTTCCTTAAATCTCATTGATTCTTTTAGGCTTAAAATGAATGAAAGGTTAAGGGTGGTTAATTTGGGCTGGAGTTTGGGCCATACAACAAATACTGAAATACGTTGCAAGTTAAAGACAGTACTTACTTCTAAGTTGAATTGTTTCATGTTGTCAAAAGCAGCATGAGGCTAAAATTTCATAGACATTACTTCAAATAGTTGCTAACAGAAATAAGTCATACTTTGTTTTGCATAGTTTTAAATGACAATTGTCTGTCATGGTTCTGTTAGGCTTGTAGGTTCTCGATGAAAAAAAAATGAAATACTGGTAAATATTGACTTCTTTTGAAATCAGAATCATCTTTGTTCATATTGTTTTGCTGCAAGTTCTTCATCAACCACCATACAACAGATGAGACATTATAAATAATGTATTGACTTCACACTCAAGCTAAATTGCAAGATGACTTGTTTCTTAATGTTCGATGCATAATCAGTCTATTGAGAAAAAGATAATCTAATCTACTGTTCTCATTCTGTTGGATTTCAGTAAGCAACTCCATGAACATAAAAATATGAAAATCTGCTCCTTTTTAATGTGAATTTTCTTGTTTATGTGGAAAGTGGGAGCATAAACTCCTGTGCACAATAGGAGCAGATGGGGATAGCAGTGTATCATCAATTAAAACTCCATCTCTAAAATACCTCCATTCATACCTGCATCTTCCTCAGCAAATTCCATACAGTCAGTCAGCTTGGCCTATGCTTTGTTTTTATACTCTAGCCTTACTTAATAGTTAAACCTATTTCGCTAGTTAAATGAGCCTCCTGGTGATCAAAAATTTAGCATAAGCAGGATCTGGAATTTCATTGCATGATGAGCAACAGTGCTGGATGAAATTTTTGGCCTACGTTTATAGAAATTATGTCACCTATAATAGCATTTGCAAGGATATGTGTAGTGGTTCAGGTGTTGGACAAGAGTGGGGAGACCCAGATTCTAGTCCACCCTTAACAGCAGAAGCTCAGCTTTGGGTCAGTCATTCTCTCTCAGCCCAACCCATCTCAGAGGCTGTTACTGTGGGGGAAAAGAGGAGGAAGGAGCTCTCTGTGTGCTTCCTTGAGCTTGCAAGACAGGATATAAATCAAATAAATAAGGGTAAATAAGTTATTTTATTAAAACTGAGGAAACATTTAAATCCTCATGTCTAGAATTTTATCAAAATAAACTTTATTTTTTTGTTTAATATATAATTTATATTAAGAAGAATTGCTTAATCTCACATTGTGACATGAAAACATAACGAAAGCAGACCAAAGGTGTTTTATTTGCTTAATTATTTGGTTTGCACCAATATCCTCATTTTGAAAATAGTCTCATGGATGACATTTACTGAACTCTGCTCTATAAGGAGGCCACAGTCCTTAAGAAGTAAGTTTAAACTAATAAGATTCTCCTTTCAATGAGAAGGGGATCAACATCCACCTGAGTTTATTTCAGATAGCCTCAGGGGAAATAAAGTCCATTGATTTTTGCTGAACTTATTTCCTAGTACTAGTATATTTAGAATAGGATTTGTTTTCAATATGGCTAGATTGCTGTTTCCCTCCTACTAAGTTTACATATGATGTTTCATTTATCTGCAGTATAACACTAGTTAAATTCATCCTTCAGCATAATTATTTTGACATCAGTATCTTCTTTACACCAAGATAGCTAATATTTAAAACAAAAACAAAAATACTCATTAATGGGCAAAGTGTTTTTTGTTTCTCCAGTTATGTATCTGTGGAGGTTTACTTTATCATTTTTTTTAAAATTTCCATAGAATAATCATGCTAGTCTGACATAAAAAGATGACAGACTTTTGTGGTTAAAGTCTAACAGATTTATTTTCACATAAAGTTTTGTGGAATATAAAATCTCAAAATGTTAAAACAGAATACATTTATTAATCCACTAGAATCTTTGTTTTGCACTCAGGTCTTGTTTTGTAAACAACTCTTTTTTCAATCTAGATTTCTCTAGATCATTGTTTCTCAACAGTGGCAACTTTAAGATGTGTGGACTTCATCTTCAACATGCTTTCTAGGGAATTCTGGGAGTTGAAGATCACACATCTTAAAGTTGCCACAGTTGAAAAACGCTGATATAGATGTATTGTACTGCAAACACCATAATTCCTAATCAACGTGGCCAAGAACCACGCTGGTTGAAATGTATAAAAGTTATAATGTAACACATCTGGCAGACTGTAGGTTGGGATGGCTGTTCTAATATACTGCATATACAGTTTGAGTAGGTGATAGTCACAGTTGTACTGTTGTAGATCCCTGGTTGACATAGAATCTCTGCAAGCTGTTAGCTAACCATTCTCCTTTCTCTGTTTATTTCATGCTAAGCAGATGGCCCAGAAATTAGCCAAAAGCAGAAAGAAGGTGCAGTACAATTTCATCAGCTTGATGTGTTGTCTAGGTTTTGTTATTTCATTTTACTTTTTTTGCATCTCTGTCACATTTTTTTAAAAAATCTGTATCCAGCAAGCATTCTTCATTAAATGTTTGAAACATCATGTAAATTGACGCATCTCAGATAACCAGTTGCCCAGTTTGCTCATCGTTCTGCTTGTTATTGGCCATTTCATTTTAAGACTATAATAGGTTAATTATTATTATTAACCAGATGAAAACCCACTACTGCCAGAAGTACATCCCAAATATAGAGCAGATGAATATTTGCTTTAATTTTATAAATTAAATCTTTCTTTCCAAAAAAGATAAATTATATTTTACTTTATATTTAAATTTCATTTCACTTGGTTAATGGACATATCAAAATTGCTGGATGCAACAAAGGGTTTGCTTTTCTTATATAAAGTTTACAATCTGTTTATTACATGTATAAATTATATCATCTAGAATATTTATAGGAGCTTCTTTAGAAACATAATATTAATGCACACATAGTTTAGCAATGGGCAGCAAAGTGCAGTAACATGACATTTTAGGGCATTGTTCAGGACCAACATTTTCAGCATTTACAATCATTTTTTTTTCAACAAATAGATGTGTTATGTCAGTCAAGGTCTTAATGAACCTATATTTTATTTATTTTGCTCTCTCAGTTATAGAAAATAATGCCACTATTATTTGGTGATTGGCTGGTGAGTTTTGTACCAGAATAATTGGTGGGGAGGCATTAGGGACCACAAAAAAGTGTGATGTGTAGCATGTATTGTTCATCTGTCATGAGTAACCCATGTTAGCATAATAATAGGCAAATTCTATTTGTCTAGCTATAGCAAGTTCTGCACCAGATCTGTATTAATTTTTTCGTCATTCCCAGCAACCAAATTATTTGTAATGGGAGTTGGGAGTGGGATTATTTTACTATTTTTGCAGTTCTTATGACTAACTGTTCTTAAGCTGGTCATGCTGCAACATAAAATGTCTATTACACTTGGAAACCTGTTTTTATGACCATGTTTTTACTTTAGTGAGAGAGGGGAATGAATAGTGAGCATATGTTAAGCATTGGTTCATCTTTCTTCCCTCTCCTGTAGCAGAAACAGGACAGTGCCACATCTTCATGTCTACCTAACTGTGCCTTGAGCCCATTAACAGTAATTAATGAAAGAGGGGGATGGTGAATAGATTTAAGAGAACCCAGGGACAGCCCTGAAAGCTTCAGTACTTGTAGGAAAGAGGACAGAAGAGAATGTGTTTTCATATCAGGAAAAAATATTACATGGATAAAGAGTTGGGAGGAAATTAACCATTTTGTCCATAACTCATATTTCATAATATTTATGCTTATCATTAACTTCCACAGTCTAATAGTATATTTTGTAAACTTTATTTTATTTATATCTAACACAACTTTTTAAAATTATGGCTTCTCTTCAAATACATGTTTCCTAACTAAAAGTGACTTCAACTGCAGGTTCCTGAAGGTGAATCTCAGCCCATGACTGAAGTTGATCTTTTCATTTCAACACAGAGAATAAAAGTGCTGAATGCAGACACTCAGGTACAGCAAACTCTAACCAATTTTACAAGAATTGGAAATATATCATTGAGCCATCTCTTGTTTATTTCCATTTGTTTCTTGCCTTACTATGAAGAAAATGTATTTTAGAACTTTTGTAAGAGGATGAAATAATTAACTACTTTCCAAATTTGTTTACATTAAAAAGCTCATTCCTTATTTTAAACATACTTTTGCAATAACTTCTTATTGGCTTGGTCAAGAATGCCAGCAAGCAACAGTTTCAAGAAAAAAAATATAATGCTAGATTTTTAAATGTTTAAACATGCATATTATATCACTATCAGTCATAATCCATGTATAGTGACTAAGTTGTTCCTGCCCCAAAATAAGGTACATGTTATGGCCCTATTAAGTACTTGTGCAAAAGAGTCTTGAGATCTGGCAGGTGGGAACTCTTATTCTTCCTTGCTTTTTAGAGGAGGTGATGATGATTTCCTTTAATTTGGAAAACATGTTTGTATGTATATAATGCCAGTGTTCTTAAATGATTGCGTGTTAATGATAAAGAACACTAATTCAAGGGTCTGCTTTTTTTTAGGAAACTATGATGGATCATCCTTTGAGGACCATTTCCTACATTGCAGATATTGGAAATATAGTTGTATTGATGGCTCGAAGGCGAATGCCAAGATCAAATTCTCAAGATAATGTGGAGGCATCTCATCCTTCTCAGGATGGGAAGAGGCAGTATAAAATGATCTGCCATGTTTTTGAATCTGAAGATGTAAGGAGATTTGTTATTTCTGCATTAGAAATGAACATAGAATTCTCCTCTTTCTGAAATGCAGCTGTTAGGCTGTTTGTTGCAGTCAGTAGGGCATGAAGGTATGCAGCTTCTGCTGATCTTGATAGGAAGGAACCTATCAGTAAGAGAGAGAGTTGTCAGCTACCTTGTCTGCCAGTCATTATGACAGCTGGATTTTAAAACCAAACTAAGATTAATCTGGTGACAGTGTTTGTTGCAGGGAAATGGGTACAGAAAGAACAAGAAAGTTGGGAGTGTGCTTCGTTAATTCTGGGTGCTAGCCTGAGACTTGCTGAGAGAAGAATAAAGATTTAAAACAGAATACCAAGAGAAAATGATTAAAAACCTACACCATCATGTTTTTCTTTAACCCACTAAGTCATGAATGATGGCTGCAAGATTACTATGAGTAGACCAAGCCAAGAACTTGCATAGAAGGGAAAAACTGCTCTGTGAATACAGTTTTCTCTGTTTATTTTAGGGGTGTACCTGTTCCTGTAAACATATTAAGGGAAAAATCTTAGAAGGTGCAAAAGAGCATTTAATACTTGAGCTAGTAGAGATTCTGAATAATAAAATCACTTCCACGTGCTTGCTGTTCCATAAAGCGCTACATCCATGGAGTTATTGAGGCTGATAATCTGAAACATCTTTTCACATTCAGGGCCCAAATAACATTATAGGGTTCTGTCTCCTACCCCCAGGCTATTTATGAGCCCTGGGTCTCACTGGCCATCATGCAAGGAGCAGTTTGATATACTACAGTTACTCTACATTTCACCACCCAGCTTATGGTGGGTTTGAAAACCCCTTTTTAAAACTGCTCTGATCCTATTGGATATCCTTAACTATTTTATTATGGTTTTTTCCTTTCACAACTGCTATAGGCACAATTAATTGCACAGTCCATTGGCCAGGCATTCAGCGTGGCATACCAGGAATTTTTGAGGGCAAATGGGATAAATCCTGAAGACCTGAGTCAGAAGGAATACAGTGACCTCCTCAACACCCAGGATATGTACAACGATGATCTTATCCACTTCTCTAAGTCTGAAAACTGCAAAGATGTATGCACCCCTTTATTTGTAATGCTGTTGAGCTAAGAATCCTCCCTTCATCTAATTTTCCCTTCCCTTCCCTTCCCTTCCCTTCCCTTCCCTTCCCTTCCCTTCCCTTCCCTT